ATTGGGGAGGCTTGTGTTTGTTCGGAGACTTGGTCAAGAGGAACAGGATGCCATTGGTGAAGTTGATTATGTTTTGAAAGGGGCTCTAGTTCCTTTCCACAGTTTGGGCAGCAAGGGATTGAGGAGGATTGGTAAAGCGGAGACATAGGCTTGTGTTGAGGGGGTTTTTACCCCTCTTCCTGTTGGGTAATTTTGTGATAGGGTGGCAACATGCAGGTTGGGGACTATTTGTTGTCGAAATCCTTGCTCTCCCCATTAAGCTGGTTAAATAGGTAAGAATTTGTAGCCCTGTTTAGCCCATACAGCAATTGCATTCATAATCTTTAGTTATAGATGTCTCTCTTTATTTAATTATCTATATTTGTCATGGGCATAGTTAAATCTGCTACTAGTGCGGTAGGTTATTCTTCTGATTTTATTTTTAGGCTATAATGCTTTAGGCTTATGCTATATGCCCGTAATGGAAATTTCTTTTGTATTTTCTTATTATTTAATATAATTTTCTCCATTTCCTATATATAAAAAAAAGATTCAAGAATATACTTAATTTTTATAAAATTAAATTTCTTATTTTACTATTCTTTAAAAAAAAAAAAAAACTCTTATTTTAGGCTTCCAAAATCGATTTATATATACAAACACTACTATTTATAAGTATTCATTCTCTCTCTTTAACCAAGTATTCGTTCCCAATGCAGCCTAATCACATGTATTATTTTTCAGTCCTTGTCTGGCATTAGGATCCATATACAGCACTAGAAATCTGAGGAATATGGTTGCTTGGAAGAGGGAGAGCAATTGTAGAGGAATTGTAACCTTGAACTGGACATTCATGAGAGAGTAGAAGGATGCTTTTCTAACCATTCTCAATTAATTACTAGAATGAGTTTTAGCATATTCAAGTCAGTATGTTGGTTTATACTCGATAACTGCTTCAATTTACATTTAAGTTGTATGGTGATATGGTTTGAATTTGTGTTTGAAATATGATTTGGAGATGAAATTTTTTTAGCACTGATTTATTCTTTTTGGTAATTTAATTTTTGAAACTAGGATGAGAGACGTAAATCTGAGATGGATGTTCAATTGTGGCAATAATTTTATTGAATTTGTTATATGGGAGGGGAGAACAATTGTACTGACACAGATATGTGGAGTCATTAGAGTGTCATTTGTATGATATTATACTCCCTTAATAAAATTAATTTACTTTTGTTTGCTGATAAAAAAAAAAATTTACTCTTTTAACGTCCTTTTTAATTTTTTTCTTTTCATTTCAAATCCTTCATGTCTATTTTTCAATTATATTTTTTCAGTATATATACGGATAATTTTTTATTTCTATTTGATAACTTAAAGATTTTAAAATTAATCTTAGCCAATACCATGAATAGATGGCGGGAGGTTTTGGCCAAGAAACGATCGAGAGAGAAGGTGTACAAGAATTGACTTCCTCGGTTCCTCCAAAGCCACATGAAAGAAAACACAAGAATGAGCCTAGAACATGCTGCAATTTGCTTTCAACATGTTTTTTTTTCGTTCCTTCACTAGAGAAAAGGAAGTGGACATGACTAGCAAGCATATTCTGACTTGTATTTTATTATTATTATTATTATTTTGTATTTCATTATTTTTGTTGGCTTGTATTTTTAATTAATTTTATTTTACAATAATTTAGTATTATTAAAATTATCAATTAATCATTTTACTTTAATATTTCCTTTACTGTCAAAAAATTAAAAACTTAGTAAATTTTTATTAAAAAATTAATTATCTTTAAGGTATTTTTGTTATAAATTTAACACAAGCATTTTTTTAATTGAAAAATTAATTTCAACCACGGAAAAGAGGAAAGTTCTTTTTTTTTTTTTCCCTTTTAATTTTGAAATAGAACTTTTAATTTGTGACAAAACTCATTCATTGTTGTTTGTATTAACTATTTTTGTGAAGAGATTTTTTGTTACAAATATATTTTGTAATTACGTAAATACTCTTTTTGGTTCAATATTAGTTTAAATAATTAATAGCCAAATGTTTCATAAGAGCTACTCAATTGCATTTGTAACCTTTTTTCTTTGTCACTTAGTTGTAACTTTTGTGACAAAAATTTTTATAACAAAAAGTGTTTTTTATAACAAATAAAATTGTTACAAGTAACTCATTAATAATGTCAATTTTTTTTATCACTATAATTTTTTTTTCTATGATAAATGCCTAATTCATTACTACAAGCATTAATGATAACGGTTTACTAACGGTTTAAATTTTATCACTAATTTTATCTTGTGACAGAAAATAAGGGTTTAGTGATCAATAAATTAATTGTTAAATGTGGTCTTTTTTTAGTGGTTATTCATTTTCAACTATAAATTACTAAAATTTCAACATGACTTTATTTAGAATGGAGAAATGAATGATTATAGTTTTTTTTTTGGATAGGAATGGAGAAATTATATTAAACAATAAGAAAGTACAGAAAAATCTCAATCTCAGGGCATATAGCTTAAAGCATTGTAGTCTAAAGACAAAATAAAAAGTATAACCTACAGCACTAGTAATAGATTTAAATTATGCTCATTACAAATACAAACAATTAAGTAAAGAAAATCATTTACAACTAGAAATTGCAATTGCAATTTCAATCGTTGTATGGACTAAAAAGGACTACTAATATTAATGTAGAAAGGAGAGTCACCATGAGCATCAAAAGCTAATGGATGTCCTCACATATTTAACCAATTTCATGGGGATATAACCAGTTTCATGGGGAGAGCAAGTGATTTTAGCAACAAACAGTCCCCAACCTATAGGTTGTTGCCCTATCTATTCTTGAAAATTAACCAACAGGAGGAGGGGCCTCTATGCAAGCACAAGGCACCCCATTCGTTTCCATGTGCTCCCAACCATGTTTCCCATCTTTTTCAATCCTCTTCAAGCCCTTGCTGCAGAGACTTATTAAGGGAATTAGAGCCCCTTTACCACCTTTAATACTATTCTTCCCTTGCAAAACATAATCAGCTTCACCAATAGCATCCTTTTCCTCTTTGTCAATCCTTCGTATAAGCACAAGGCACCCCAGTTGCCACCAAGTACTACCAATTATGTTCCCATCTTTGCCAATCCTCTTTAAACCCTTGTTGGTGAAGCTTATTAAGGGAACTAGAGCCCCTTTGCCAACTTGAATATCATGCTTCCCATGTAGACCATAACTAGATTCACCAACAACATCCTTTTCCTTCTATATTCGGCTGCCTAATTGAAAATTGGAATGAACTAGTTTCTCCGAATTCAACCCCCGCCAACATCCCATTTGAGGAGATGTGCCTAAGTGAGGTTCTTACTCATTGAATAGGAGAAACCCAATCCACCAGCAAGATCAATTCCCTTGTTATTCTAGTCGCAACCTTCAGAGATCAACAACAGATGTAGACCTAAATATGCCACTACCTTGTGGTCCCTTGGGTTGAAGTTTCCAAAGCAAGATAGTCGACTAAGATGAAGGAAGAGATCAAGAGGAGGAAGGTAAGGGTAAGAAGAAAGTAGGGAAGAAGAAACTCTTTTGTCGGAGTGAAACCCTAGGGAAAAAAACCCATTGTTGTCGCCCTCAACCCTAAGTAGTGCACGGGAGCCGCTAATGATTATAATTTTGAATAAGAATGATTTGTAAGATTTGTGTAAATTGATCCAAATTCAATTGATTAGTTTCCATTGATTACATATGCCATGATGAGGTAATGGCAAACGTATATCAAGCTATGTATGATCAGGTTCATTAATCCAATCAAATAAAACTATGTATATTATACATAATTGATAGATGAAATTATTAATTAAGTAATCAGAGAGCATCTATAGGGGGTGGGTATTATTACGATTTTCTTCTTTTCACATGGTGCTTTCTGTCATTGTTGGTGGTTTTTCTTTTTCATAGAATATTAAATTAAATGTTTTTCTTTCAGCGATTAATGTCCAAAATTTATTCATATTGTATGTATAAGGGGATAACCCGTAAAATGTATCTAAACAAAAATTCATTTCACCAAAATGGTACACAAAGATATACATACTAAATAAATTACACACTCAAATCACTACAAGGACACAAGCACATTATTGCATAATATTTTACGACACTAGAAAGCCCAACCAAATTGGAACATAGACAGCTTCATACTTATGATACCGCTAGAGGAGGATAAGTCCACCACATAAGAAAAATTACATATCAATCTCTCCAACTTATTTGAAATATATATAAAAATAAGGATCAATTTATACATAAATTTTAAACAAAATCTTAACTAATCATTTTTCTATTATAAATGGATGAGATTTATTTATTTTTTATCTTATTTTTTAGAGTTAATAATATTTTTATTTAAAAAGTTGTAATGAGTCTCAACCATTAATAATGAAAAATGAATGTTTAATATTTTATGTAAAACTTATTCATAAGAGGATATTAATTATATATATGATAGACCTGGATTTATGATTATCTCAATACAATCGAAGCTGTGTAATGCTTGATTGCACGTCAATCTCATCAAAACCATTGAACTCCAAGTATTCCTTGTAGGTCATCCCGGGGAAGGCTGGCGGGTGAGATTGGTTCACAAACTCTGGATCCGGGGCAATAGATGCTTCCAGTGCTGGTCCATGGAGTGTTCCTATCGAGATTCTACTAACCTTGTTGTTTTCCAGAACCACATGGTGAACATTGCTCTTGTACCTTCCATTGGTTAAGAACTGTAATAAAATATGTGGTCAACAAAGGCTTTCTTCTTACTAATTTAAAATGGCTTGGTGTTGTAATTTGTTATATATTAATGACCAGTGGAAGAAAGAAATTGTAATATATGTGGCAAGAGATCGAAGCTAGCGAATAAGAAGACAAAAACTAGGTGGGGTAAAAGGTACATACCTCAATTTGATCACCGAAATTAATAAAAATGGCATTTGGGGGAATTTTCACACTGATCCACTTTCCTTTTTGGGACAGGATTTGAAGGCCACCATTGACATCTTGTATGAGTGAAACAAATAATCCAGGGTCGGTATGATCAGCTAAACCAACGGGACCTTTGGACTGGGAAGATGGAGGATAAAAGTTCACTGAAGTCACATCGAAGCCTGCTTGCAGTTTAGACGCCTTCTCAATGAAGGTTTCTTCCATGCCAAGGATCTTTGATAAAGCCCTAGCTAACCCTAGTTCCACCTCATGGGACCTTTTCAAGTACTCTCCTAGGGTCTCTCTGTATTGAATCAAAAGATCAATTGGTAAGTGATTAACCATGCATGTCAATATTTTTTTCTGTTTAAAAACTAAAAAAATTAACAACATAACATGAAAATTAATTAAACCATGGATTATATTTGAATATAAAATTTCTAACTTATACAATTTCATATTATAATAATGATATGTTTGTTATAGGTTGAAAAGGGTTGTTTATGTAATAGTATATACTATATATGCTTTACAAAGAAAGATTTGTGATTGTATATTTACCTGAGGTGGGCTGGTTTACTCGGGCAGTGATACTGAGGATGTGCAACTACCTTTAGGCACTCTCTGTTTTCCTCACTGTTGTAGTTGGAAAACCAACGGACCCTATCCGTTGGGTTCTTTTTCTTGTACTCACCCTTCTCATCTAGTGTTGTCTGATTAAAAAAATCAGACAACGCCTTCAATGCTTCCGCCACCACGTCCTCTGGCACTCCATTTATCAGCTGGAAAAAAGAATGAAAAAAAATATATAAATTTCCACTTGCATCAACATAAACTCCATGAAAATTGAGAAATTAGTCATAAAATTTATATTTGATTTGAGAAAAATAAAAGATGAAAGAAAGGTGAAGAATGAATTTTTTAATCAATAATTAAATTACATTGTTTTTTAACGTTATAATTTAATTAGATAAAACATGTGCTCCATTCATTTCCTTCCAACCAAATAAATTCTCAATAATTTGTTGAAAGAAATTTTGAGAGAGGCGGCTAGTAAAGTTCATACATAAAAGAAGCCATAATCCTCGCAGGCTTTGGCAAGGTGTTGCAGAGCCTCAGCACGTTGATCAAGATCATTAGAATAGAGCAAAGAGTAATCAACGGTGGGGGTTTCATCACGATCAGATTTTATGAGAGACTCATCATGGGAGTAGTGAAGGGTGCCGGTGATTTTGAAATCAGAAGTAGGAATCCCAGCTACTACTGTTTCAGCCATATGTGGGTGATGGGGGTGGTTGCAGAGGTACAGATAAAGAGGCGCTCGAAGATGGACAATTAAGAGCACTTCAAAGATGGGAGTGGTGGCTCGAGTTTGCATGCAACTGTTAAAGATGCCTCACCTATTTATAGAGGCTTCACAAGGACAATTGGTCACCATATTTTGACAAAATACTTAAATTCATCCCCAAAATATAGTGGTAGGGACGGATTCATCTCTAAACAAAAAATAGGGATAAATCCACTTACAAAATTTTCGATTTAGATAAATTACTTTAAACTTAACGTATGACATCATCTAACATTAACAATCCGTTAATTCGTTAATGGATTGCTGACGTCAGATGATGTTAAATTAATAGATTGTTGATGTCAGATGATATCATACGTTAAATTTGAGATGATTTATCAAAGTCGAAAACTTTATGAGTGGATTTGTTCTCATTTTTTGTTCAAGAATGGATCTGTCCCTATCACTATACTTTTATGGTGAATTTGGATATTCTGTCATATATTTTTGTTTTTATAATATTTTGGCAAGAAAGTTCTATCGCTACGCCGAACAAATTTGTTTGATTAACTTTCGTAGACACCTTTTACACGCAACGTTTTATTTAAAAATATATTAAATTTATAATAATTTTTAATTAAAGACATACGGCTATGATTACAATACAATAATATAATGTAACTACGACAACAAATGAACACGATAAATGGCTATAGATTAGTGATAGCATATTTTTTAATTTATTTTTTATTTTTTGGGATTCTTAGTACATGTTTCCATAAAATATTAGGAAAATGTGGGGCTGAATTGGGTTTTTGAGACACCTTTGCCCAAACACGTTCCTGTACTAGCTTCAACGGACGATTAATTGGATGACAGGCGTAGGGTTGTTAATTAATTTTAGGTTAAAATCCCATTTTGATCCCTAAACTATTGTACAGACTCTCGATTTAGTCCTTAAACTAAAACAATTCTTGATTTGGTCCTTACTATTTTCCATTTTAACCTCGATTTGGTTATTCCGTTAAATATCTACCTATGTATCCCATTACTTGACGGGAAAAGATGACATGTAAAAGCATTTTGATACCTAGGATGTACAGCATGGCAAAAAAATGAGATGGCAAGAAAATATCTTAAAAATTTTCTTTTTCCTTTTCTTTTTCTTTCTTTGTTTTTCTTTTTTCCCTTTCTTTTTTCCTCTCCCTTTCCTTTCACCTTCTACAAACCCTAACATCTCCTAATATTAAATTTGAGGATAACACAACAAATCAATAGATCGAAATCAATAGATCCTTTGATCCAACTGCAGCTGGGTTGGAAACAAAACCTAGCGCTTGTTGGGTTTGATCACCTGTTGGGTTCGAAATCGAACCCAACACCTGCAAGAATCCAAGGATAACACAATAGATAACAAATCCATAAATAGATCGAACTCAACAGATCCATCGACCCAACGGTTGTTGAGTTTAAAACAGAATCCAACAGACAACAGATCGATAAATAAATTAAACTCAACAGATCCATCGACCCAACAGTTGTTGGGTTCGAAACGGAACCCAGTGGCTGTTGGGTTCGAAATCGAACCCAGCACCTGTAGGAACCCAGCTCGAACCTAGTACCTATAGGAACCCAGCTCAAACCTAGCACTTGTAGGAACCAAGCGGCTGCTGGGTTCGATGCTAGGTTACCCAGCTTGAACCTAGCACCTACAAGCCCAGCTTGAACCCAGCACCTGCAGGAACCCAATGGCTGTTGGGTTCGATGCTATGTTCGATCGCTTGCTGGGTTTGATTTCAAACCCAGCACCTACAAGAACCCAACGGCCGCCTTGCTTTCTTCATATTCATCCTCATCCATGAAATTGAACCCAGCACCTGTAGGAACCCAGCGGCTGCTAGGTTCGATCGCTTGCTGGGTTCGAAATCAAACCCAGCACCTACAAGAACCCAACGACTGCCTTGCATTCCTCATCTTCATCCACCTACAAGAACCCAGTGGCTACCTTGCCTTTTTCATCTTCATCAATCAATTTCTCATATCATCAAAAAACAAAACCCAAACAAAGAAAACAGAATTTTTTTTTTTTTTTTTTTTTTGCCCTTGGGTTCGATGGAACCTAGGGCTGAGTCCCAAGGAACCCAGCGCTTGGGTTTCATCGAACCTAGCGCTTGGGTTTGGCCCCTGGGTTCAATGGAACCTAGGACCAGGGTTCGATGGAACCTAGTTCTTGAGTTTCATCGAACCCAAGCATC